TTGTTTAGGGATTAGGGTTTAGGGTGCAACTATATCTGGACTCTAAAAGGAGACCATGGCCAGTTATTCGACCTCTGGAGTACTTGGGGCGGACAGCTCTGATGTGAAGAGCGTTTAAAGCTGTTTAAGGCTGAAGGCGGTTCATGGAAGCCCTCGTGCCCAATCTCGAAGGAATTGCAACGAAGGCCTTGCATGTAGGGGTCTTCACATCACAGTGTCCTGAAGCTCCGTCTCCAACAGGTCCAGCTCTGTCTCCAACTGCTGCTGGTCTTCTAAGAGTTGTGCCTTTGGCCAGGACAGGTCTGAAAGCTGTCAAAAGGGAACTTCCCTGGAGCCCGCGAACCCACCTCGGGCAAAGCCAGCAGCCGCAGCGCTGGCAGGACCCTCTCGCAGTCCAGCGCAGGTAGCGGCGTGTCCAAGGCACGCAGTGCACTCTCTAAACCTCGGGGCTGGTAAGTCGGAGTTGGAAGGTTTCTGGGAAAAGGGGGCGGGTGGTGGGAACGGGGTCTGCTGTACAGGCTTCGGGATTAACGGCCTCAGTGCTTCGGGGAAAAAGAAGATAGCGTTCCTTCTAAGTCAGAGTCAGGAGCCGTCTGGACTCGAGACAGTCGGTGCGCGGCAGAGCGGGCAGGAGGATTGCCTCTCCAGCCAACCGTAGATGCACTCGTGGTGCCACTCCCGGTGCCCACAGGGGAGACACACCTCTTCAGAGTTGCGAGGTAGAAAGCAGATGAGGCAGCTGGGAACGTCGACATCCTCCGCAGGCGGCGCCATCCAACAAGAGCCGTCTGCGGCCTACTTGGGGCTGGTGCTGCTGGTACTGCTCATTCGGGGAGCCAAAGCATGTAGCTCTGATCAAACTCACAGGAATCGATCACTGCGCCACACTTGGGCAAAGGAGCCCGGCTGCCTTGCAATTGGAGCCGACAAACACACCCGACAGGTTGAGTGAGTATCTGCACCGATGTTGGGTGCTTAAGCGTCGTTAGACTTAGGGCTTGGGTCCGAGGCATTTCGGTGCAACGGGCGGTGTTGACGGGGCTCCACTTCAAGCCTGGGAAGACGTCACATCTGTCTATGGCATTCAAACTCCTTTTTGCGCCCTCAAGCATCGAAGGTCAGATACCTCGGTTGTTCCAACAAAAGTGCTACAACCGCCGTCACTTTCTTGAGTTGTGTAGTCGCATCTCTACTCTCAACTTCCCCTGCGTGGCACCTTGTAGGTTTTCGTGCCCTGCCCGTCACGTCACCGAAACAGCGAACGCCCCTAAATGCCGATAAACCCTGAACTCCTTGGTCCGAAGCCGGGGCACAAGCAAAGTCGGGTCGAGGCCCCAGGTCGAGCCAGCAGGCGTTGGCAATCCCGGTCCTGGAGGGACCACGTCTCTACGAAGGCTGTCTGCTACGGGACCCTTTCCCTCCTTGCCTCTTTGCTGAAAGCTGATTTGAACACTCTTTTTGTTCATTGCACTCAACTACAACTAGCATGACTATTGCAG